GAAAGTTAAGCGCAGTCGGGGTCGCGATGTGTTTTGTCTGACTTAGCATTGTTTTTTCTTAAAATTTTTTAAACTTTTTCCCCGACTTTTCTAACTCTCAAAAGGTTAGGGTTAGGGGTTAGGGGTTAGGGTTAGAAAAGGGTTTGGGGTTGGGGATAGGTTTATCTTATAAAAATTAAACTTTAACAATAGTCACTAGACTGCCGGCCATTTAGTATTTTATAAACCGTGACCGGCTGCCGGTCATATAGTCACTTCGTAAAAAAAAAGAGATTATACGAGCCTTACGCATGTGAGGACAGGTCCTTTCTTTCAGTAGATTTTTGGCAACCAGGAATTGAACAAAAAGTTGGCATGGTTGCAAATGTCTCGTTTCAATATAGAAATTTCCGACCGAAATTTTGTGATTTACTTCCTTCTGTTTTAAGCAAATTGAAAGGGGGGTGTGAATAACTTTTTTCTTCACGTTAGCATTTTAGGTCAGTGGTGTTCACCATAAATTTAGGTCGATTGTGACGTCAAAATGACGTAAATTTGGCCAAAATCCGCCATGTTTTTGGCCACACATTTTTGACTGACGAGGTATTGGAGCACGATCTCCAGATATATTAAGTATAGCTCAGTGGGATTATCCCAGAGCAGTGAACTCTAATAATAACTGGAAGGCTAAGTCAGGGGGGGAAGTTGAAGCCGTGCTTGAAGCTTTTTTTGTAGGTAGACCCAGTCCTTTTTAAATTTTTTTTTCAAAATATGCACATTTTTTTATCAGAAAAATCTTGCCCCAAAATATTATCAGTAGTATGATACATGAATTTAATATTCGCAAAGCAAACAAATCATGAATTAGCAAAAAAATGCGAAAAACACGACCATAAGCATGAACGGTCTGAAAAACCGCGCGTTTTAGGCTGCTTTTTCTGAGTTTTTGGAAGTTTAAGATAAAACTAAGACGTCACACCTCAGGAATTTTTTATACCCATGCAAAATACATCTGTATGCGAAGTTTCAAGAAGATTTAACGTTTTAAGGTCGAAAAAAAAGCATTTAAAAATTGACAAAAATATTGCCATATTCAAAGTGCTCATAGTGGCATAGGTTACGGTGGCCCACAAGTATCACGGCAAATGTTTTTAAAATTACGTTAACATAAAGTTCAAATTGACTGCAAAACAAAATTTATTGAACGGATAATCTTTATATTTGCTACAACAACAATTTAATGTTGACAGCAAAATAAAAAGTCACGGCAAAATAAAAAGTCACGGCAAAATAAAAAGTCACGGCAAAATAAAAACTCACGGCAAAATAAAAAGTCACGGCAAAATAAAAACTCACGGCAAAATAAAAAGTCGCGGCAAAATAAAAACTTACGGAAAAATAAAAACTTACGGAAAAATAAAAACTTACGGCAAAATAAAAACTCACGGCAAAATAAAAAGTCGCGGCAAAATAAAAACTCACGGCAAAATAAAAAACTTACGGAAAAATAAAAATTTACGGAAAAATAAAAACTTACGGCAAAATAAAAACTCACGGCAAAATAAAAAGTCGCGGCAAAATAAAAACTCACGGCAAAATAAAAACTTACGGAAAAATAAAAACTTACGGAAAAATAAAAACTTACGGCAAAATAAAAACTCACGGCAAAATAAAAACTCACGGCAAAATAAAAACTCACGGCAAAATAAAAACTCACGGCAAAATAAAAACTCACGGCAAAATAAAAACTCACGGCAAAATAAAAACTCACGGCAAAAGTCACTCACTCAATGTTTCCACTTTGGAGAGGATATCCATTTCAAGTAAGATTGTCACTCCATGCACATGCAATGATATTTTTTACTATTACGTCGTTTACTGTGACAAGGGTGTTGGCGATAAAAATATAAATATATAAATTTGGGATGAATTTCAAAGAAGAGATTTGATGGAAAATGAAATTTGGATAACGTCGATGAATTTTTTAATGATTAAAGTGGAAATCGCAATTGTTTGTTTGGTTGTTCCGTTGTTGTTGTGGAACTTTTGTGGTGAAAGATTGTCAAAATGTAATAACGTTTCGTCTCCTAAATTCTAAAATAATGGAAGACAGTGAAACAATGTAAGTATGTACAATGTCCCATCTGACAATAATGCAGGAAAGAGGG